AAAAAAATATAAATTTTGCTTAAAAATTATTTAAAAATTCATTAAATATAAAAAAAATCATATACTTTCGGTAATAATTTTTTAAAATAATTATTTCACAAATAAATTATTTGAAAAAAATAAAAATAAAATATTTTAATCCAAGGGGATTGGATTACCAATCTTATCTCGCCAATGGGTATGCTAATCCCACCCTTTACAAGGATTGGTAGTCTAATTGGACGAATAGTCCTACAACATTTTAGCTCAACCAAACATGCTTTTGATGGGCTCCATGGATTGTTAAGAGGTGAAACAAACATGGCCTATATGCCAAACCAGTGCTAAAATTAATGAAATTAATGACCGGATAAACTTTCAATATCCCAAAATTTAGGATATTTTAACCTTTGTGAAATTCGATCCTATGACCTTTTAAATGATAAGCCTTTTAATTGCCTTTGTTCCACTAAACCAAACCCTTTAGAGTTAATGGATTGGGTATGTATTAGCACCAAATTAAATTTGAATTGGTGGATCTCAAAGGCCACAATTTTTAAAGTGTCTGTGCACCGCATAATAGAAGACCCCACACTTTAATTATAATAATAATCCTCTATCAAATCCAAGTAAATCCATGTCATATAATAGTCTTTTTTTGTGATTTAATTCTCACTTGTGAAGTTGGATCACACCACACTAAAACACCCAATGTGGGGTGTGAAATAATTGATGTTTCCTAAATGGAGTTTCAAAAGTTTGCAATAAAAAAAAAAATGTGAAATTCACACAAAATGTTTACATAAAATTTTTGATACTGCAGTAAGATTTTAAAAAATGTAAATAATTTTGACGAGTATTGTATTTTTAGGATGACAAAATCAAGATTTGTTAAATTGATTTTAAGCATGCATTTTTAATTTCTATATCACTATTGTTACAAAATATATATATATATATATATTTTGCTTTTCCTAAGCATGCACATAGCTTGTAGTAAATACCATGAGTGGCTCTTGTATTCTATTTCATGTAATTGAGTATATAATATTTTCAAACCGAAATGAATAATAATTATGGATAAATGAAATCAATATAACTCGATCGTTTGGGTGAAAGACAAAATCATCCATTCTCCTTTAAATTATCTTATTAATTAAAAATATTATGCATATATATATTATTATTAATTATTTTATTTTATTTTTATTGATATGACTCCTTGATACCCATTGAGATTGATATTGTGGCACAGCGTATAAAGTTGGGTTAAGTAGGGAGGTGTGACTGATTTGTGGGTTGCACATGAGGAATGACTAATGAGGGACCCTTCATGGACCAAACCCTAGACCTCAAGAGAAAAAAAGAAAAAAAAAAATCTTTTGGATGGTTACACTAATTTTTTGTTCCTTTGGCCGACAACATCTTGCCTTGTATTCCTTGTCTAATCCATGCCACTATTAATGGTTTTCAACTATTCCAAGGAGTAGATGCTGTTGTCCTCAGTCTTCTTCTCCAACCAAACCACTCCGTTCCCCTCCAATGCTGAGTAATCAAACCACACAGTGAGAATTATAGTATCATTGTGTGATGAGAATTGAATTGATCTATTGTAAATTTGATTATATATAGAATATATTTAAATTATAAATTATTTTTTTTTAATAAAAGTCAAAATAAAAAAATTGAATGTGTAGTAGTATTATGAGAATTGTAGTGTTAAAGGGAAAGGAAAATACTCTAAACGAGTATAGTCAAGTTGAAATGAGTTGAGTAATAAATTATTTAAAGTTAGTTTAAAAATTTAACAAACTTTTAAAATGTGTTGAAGTTTAATTTTCAAATCGATCTCAAAAGAGGAACTCATAAAGAACCAAGTTTATATAGTTTGGTTTTTTCATTGTTCGTTTTGTTGAATAGCTTCATATATATTATGGTTATAGACAATGATTCTCTACAATTACTACAACATATAAGAGTTTTAGAGATTTGGTCTCTAAAAGTGAAAATTTTGTTGCAAAAGACATTTAGAGACCAATTTCTTTCATAGTGAGGTTAATCGCTAAAAGGTCGTTCCGAAAAGTCAAAAATAAGGTTTTGAGCGATAAAATGTTGAAAGTGTCACTAATAAATAAACTTTTAAGGACAAAATAATTTGGTCTCAAAATAATTTATTTGTTGAAATAAAAAATTTAGTCCCAAAAGGATAATAATTCATCACTAATATACAATTTTTGTTGCTAAAAATATAATTACGACATTTTTCACAACAAAAATATTTGATCACTAAAAAATAATTTTATCCCTAAATATTAGTATTTAAAACCTTAATTCTTTGTAGTGAATAATCACTCTATATAATCATGCAATGTTAGTTTAAATGGATAATTTAAGTCTAAAACACAATTAATGGTGGTTCAGAAAAATAGTTTAAGCTCAAAACACAATCGTCATCTTTGCATATTGAAAGATTATTGTAAGAAGATTATTGCAGAAAATTTAATTCATCTATTGGGCTCATTTCCTAACAATTATAATTTTTTGGATAATTAGTGATCTTACATAATATCATAATTCAGTTTGGGAGAGTTTTTGAGTTTAACTCTCTCCGTTTATATTTGTTTATATTTGGTCTCTTTGCATTATTTATATTTCTTCCATTTTTTTCTTGTCTTTATATATGAATGCTTATATCTTCATGTACAAGATAGGGTTGCAAGTGAAAGAAAATATTAGATAACTTAATAGGCTGATATACGATATTGAACTCATTTCTTAATAGCTTTCAAATCAAATATTATAGGTTATTCAATTTTAATTTGTGAACTTAATAAGTTTTAAAATATATTTAAATTTGACTTATTTATATAACAAAATGATCGTAAATAAATTAACTTACTGCGAATCCGAATTCAACTTTGTCTTACATACTAAAACTTTGTGATTTGATGTGTTGTCATGACTCATGATCAACATTAGGTTTTCTGAGATTCTTTATGAATGTAAGAATAGTGTAAAATTTGGTTGTTTTTGGTTGATGGCATAGATCAAAGTATGTTATGACATGAGCTTGAGCAACATGTAAAACTAGTCAGACTGTGATAGCCAATTTGGTAGCTTGGTGAGGTTGATAGATTGACATTGATATTTCTTTTCTCATAAGAACTTTCTTCCAATGGCACGAGGAATTGCACATACTTTTCTTAGCATTATTTTTTACTTTCCCCCTTTTTTTAATTACATAAAAATTTAAACATATATAAAAATAATGGGTGTTTTTGTAGTTTTTATTATTTTTGATAATGAAAACAAGAAAAATAAAAAGGAAAAGACAACCAAATGGGCCAACAATTTGGATTACAGTATAGGAGAAATGGAGCGTGGATGCATTTTGGGCCCTGTTTGTTTTCCTCCATAGTTCATGGGATTGAATTATTATTTTCGTGGGCTCCATAAGAATCATTAGTCTGATGAGATTAGAAATACCCTTTCGTGACTGGACTAGTAATACAATTTCTATCTCATAGAATTGGAAGTGACATCACTGTTTTGTCCCTCATTTTACAAAATTAACGAAGTCATTTTTTACATAATGAGAATTTTTATGTAATTTCAAATATTTAATACCAATCAATTAACTCCACAAACAAACACAATATTTTACATATCTAACTTAATATTATTGCACTAGTAATTCACTTATTCAATTTTATTGTACTAATAATAACATCCAACTTCATCTGACAAACAAACAAGACCTTGGTTCCTCCACTTAAAAAGAAATAACTTTTGAAAGAGAATAAGGATTGTAACTGAGGAATAATTTGATAGGTCAACATATAAGAGATTGAGAATATAGAATTGATAGTGATACATACATATATACAATTCAATTAAAAGGTGATATATATATACCCTTTTAGGTAGTGAGGGTGTCTCAGTTATTAGGGGTGAGCATGGTCCGGATTGGACCGGATTGGTGTAAAACCAGGACCAATCCGTTATTTACGGTTCCTGAAAAATTAGATGTTGATTGTTCTATCATTGAATGAAATCTCTCAAATGTCACAACTGTTTTTTGTTTGTAAGAGGCAGAGAGAGGTACTACCCCATAACAGGACATATAGCCTTGTCTGTATCCTTTGTCTGAGCAATAATTCAGAATCAGTCTTTTGTTATTATTTTATTGTTTCAAATATTAAAACTTTTTTTTTTTTTTTTGGGGGGGGGGGGGGGGGATGTAATTTCTCAATAAGAACATCATTCATTAGCATATAAGAAAGCTGAAAATTGGAAACAAGAGATGGGAGACAAAATAGCATTACCCATCTGTATACAAGAGCTTGAAAAACTTCTAAAACATTTTGAAGCAAAAATATAAAATAAAATGGACAACCCATCTTCACTTGACCAAAGGAAACAAAACCCATAAAACCTGCAAAAAACACCAACACACAGACTGTTCATAACAGAAAATCATTGACAAATAAGAATGTTCACAATACTACACTACAGAATTTGTCGAGCAATCTAATTCTCATGTCAAGCATAGTGAGAATATTAATAATTCTATTCGCACACCACAAAAAATATCAACACACCATTTATACTATTCGACCAAAAATCATTCAGACATAAACTTCCAAATAAAAAAACTCGTTATTCAGAAAAAAACATACCACATCCCAGCATCAATGCACTACTTTTAACTTCAAATACGTTAGGGTTTGTTTCTCGGGAGTGTTTATCACTATCGTAACCTACTAGGAATCGACCGAGGAGTTGAAATAGATCTAAGCGGCAACTCCTTGTTACTATGCTCTCGCGTTCTCAAGTGACTGAAATCATTTTATCTAGCCAAAAAGAAAAGAAAATAAGAATATTATAGTGGCTGCATAATAAAAGGGCACAATTTTCACTGCCAACTCTGGGTTTCTGGCATCTATATGCCACTCATATTTTGGCAATCCATAGTCGAAATTAATTGAGAAAAAAAGGAGGCATCATATAGCTGTAGTATGGGCAAATTAGAAATCACAGTGAGAAGGAATATAACACAAACAATGATCAAATCATTTGCCAAAACAGACAGCACATACTCAGAGAAATTATCCATGGTGTTTCTTATAAACAATTTCCAAGTATCACAAAGAGTTTGATCTGCAAGGTCTCAGAAGTATAGACGTTGTGCTTCTAAACCCATATTAAGATTCTTCAAAGCGAAAGATTTGGTTTAAATTAGCACGGACTTTTGTGAGCCGACTCAAAACTTTTGGATAACTACTGAATTTGCAAGACCAGCTTTCTCAACTGTCTGGGATGGATCGGTGAGTGGCTTGGGAGGGAATCCGACTGTCTGCAGCTGATAAGTCCTGCTACCACCAGGCCTAGATGCATCGATGAAGTAACGGATATCGGCTATGGTATGGTGGTAGTTGAAGTGTGCAATCATGCGTGTTCCATCAGCCAACCTGAGTTGAATTGAGGTTGACGGCATGTTTTCATCCACAACTAGGCCCGCAGAAGGGGTTGGAGCAGTATTGAGAGACGCGTCAGTGGTTAGCTCGGGAGCTGGCTGAGTTGTGCTGCCACCACCCAAAGTTCTTCCCACACCCTGAAACGGATTATGATGCTGCTCGGGTTCCTGCAAGAAAATTGAAAAAGAAAAAGTAAAGTTGTTATGGGTAGAGTTTATACCCTTGAAACGATCATAAGAGTGGCCAAGAGCTGTGGAAGGCCATAGAGAAGGCTAAGAAGTACGAAAAAGACATAGATACAACACGTGGACATGCAAGTTTTCAAAAAAGTGCATAACACAAAACATGTAATTTTATATATTTATCATATACCATATTTTATAATATTATATATTTATTCTATGATAAGACTACAAATGAACCGAACTATTCATGAATAAGCTCGGCTCAATTCGTTTAATAAATGAGACAAGCTCGAGCTCAAATATTAGGCTCGTTTAGTGAACGAGCCGAGCTCAAGCCTTCAAAAGTTTGGCTCGTCAAGCTCGGCTCGTTTATCTTTATTTAAATTATGTGATAAATATATTATTTATATATTAAACAATATATAAATAATATCATAAATACATTATTTATATATTAAATAATATAAATAATATTTTTTATTTAAATAATATTTAAAAATATTTATCGAGCCGAGCTCAAGCCCGAGCCCAGTTCTTTATCGAGCCAAGCTCAAGCTCGGCTCGTTTGCAGCCCTATTCTATGCTAAATATTTATTCTGATCAAATTCATCAACCTTGGGTATGCTACTACTGCAATTAAAGAAAAAGTCACCACGTGCTCTCAACATGTCCCCAATGTGTTCTCAACATGTTCGGAGCATGTCCGTGTCTAGCATGTGTTGGACATCAATATGTGACCTTTGGAGAGGTGTTTGTGCTTCACAGTAGGAAGGAGTTAGTACACATTTACCACTACTTTTTCATAGCAAACAATTATCAACAAGAAAAGGCTGCCTAAGTAGTTTTTTGGGATCCATTGGTTAGTTTGCAATGCAACTAATTGGAAAACATATTATAACATTGCACATGATCTTGGAGATGAGAATATAACAAGTCAGAAACTTATATCCCAATTAAAAAAAAGTTATATTAGGTACGGGGACTCACAGGACAGTTCTCATCCCTTCTAATAAGATTAACGTGAACCGAGGATCTTCTATCCGCAGGCTCGAGCTCTTTTGGACACTCGGACTTTGTAATGCTCTGCATTGAGATGTCACAAAATCATTAACAGAAACCCATCAATAATAACATCACAAAGGGCCAATCAAGCAATGAGGGGAAAAAAGCACGAAATAATACTCCCTCTGTCCCAAAATATTAGTCCCTTTTCGGAAATCCAACTTTTTTTGGTAGTACAATTATTACGCTTCAAAAATATTAACTTTCCAAAACTATCATTTGATAGTAAAATTATTACACTTCAAAAATATTAATGTCAATGAATTTAAAAGAAGAGCAAAATAGAAAATTCATGTTATTTTAGTCTATGATTTTTGAAAAGGCAATATTTTGGGACAATGAAAAATGGAATAAGAGACTAATATTTCGGGCCAGAGGGAGTAATAGAGATAGATAATCCATCCACAACCACATAATTTCAAGAGTAGGATTCAAACCAAAGCCACAATCATTGGATTAGGTAAATTCAGTGGTTCAACATGCTTACTGAGACTACACTGCACCAAATTTATCACAGTAATTTAAGGGGCGAGAAAGAAATTAAGACAGAAAAATGATCAAAAGGAGGAAACATAGTGCAAGATTTGATCTGAAGTATTACATAATGGTGTACTATGATTGTACCAAACAATTACCTATGCATAAGGACTAGATAAACATCATTCCATCTCTCACATGGCAAGTGGAAAGGGAGCAGTTTGGTGTTTTGGGGGGGAGGGTTGTTACAGACCCAAGATTCTAATACAAAACCATTTAAAAAAAAAAAAGTATAAACTACAACATAAATTTTTGTTGGCGTAAAAGATGAAAATAAAATGAAAACATACATAAATAAGCAAGTAATCTTCTATATGTGTTGAGTTACAAAACAAAGTAATTGTAAGACAATTTATCTACTGAAGTGAGGCATTTTCATTTGTTATTGACACTCTTATCATTAAAAGCATCTATGATGGAATTGACAATGTATTCCTCAATGAATGTGATTTAAGTAACTTGCTGACTCTTAATCTGCTATCTTCTCTTTTCTGCAGACTAGGGATTGTAATCAACACCAATTATGAGAAATTCATTTTTTGTATATTTTATTCAATTTTTTTTTTATTATTATTATTTTTAAATTCTATAGTTTGACCCCATGTTCCATAGGTACAGCGGTAGGCACTTAAATATTTTTAAAATGTAGAGGGCCAACCACTTAACATTTGTTATAATGCTTAAGAGTGGTGAACTTGTATAATTTGGAGATAATTAATAGCTAATACTACTCTAATAGCCCCCTATTGCTCTTACCTCCATGAAAGGTGCATTTTCAGGATCATCCAACCTCCTCAAAGGGCCATCATTTACAGTAAAACCATTTCTCCAGAAAACAATGTTGTGAATGACTGCCTCAGGCTGCTGAGGTGCAGGAGCAGACGGTATTGTTTCTCCTGAAAGTAATCTTCCAGTTCCAGTAAAGCTTCTTGAGCTTGAAGATGGACGAGAGTTCTCAAGGGGTCCTTCTACAGCTCCCAACTGCCTGGCTTGATTGAAAATTGCATCCACATCATTACCCTTTGAGGGATCTTGCACAAGCATACCACTGCCAATATTGTGACAACTATATCAGCCACCATAATCTTAAAAAGGTAACATGAATTTCCAGCAATAAGGTCACCTTCAAAGATCTACATTGAACTATAAAAGCTATTGTGAAAACATGTACAAATAATTTCAAAAGCTTTTTTTGTGTGTAGTCATTGAATTGAGGCTTTTTGGCTTTAAGCAAACAAACAGTTCAATACAAACTACAATGCAATCCACAAAAGAATGACTTCAAACATTTTTATTTTGATAAAAGAGGCACCAAAGGGGTGCACCTTGTATACAAAAGGATAAAAACTAGCTATGCATAAAAAAATGCCTACCTTGTACTATTATCTCACTAATGATACTAAATACATTGATCTTGAACAATAATATTTAGTAATGTCAAGCATATGTGATAATAATCATTAAAAAAACTATAAAAATTCAAGAAAATTGGGCTAGGGTAAAGCACTAATCCCAACCCAAACATCAAACCCAGTAATTGAATTTTGTCAGGTTCTTAACTGGGTTGATGAAGGGGGGGGAACCCATATTATTGTCAGGCTGGAGAATCCCACACTTCACAAGCAGCATTTCATTCAAAATTTATATTTTCAGATAACTCAAGGCCAGGAAAACAATTTTGCCACCCTACTCTAGACCATAAGTATTTTTCTTTTAACATGATTTTCAGCTATTCAATTTTTAGTCCCTTTCTTTAGCAAATATTATTAGTAGAAAATGTCAAAGAGAACAAATAGTAGAGGATAACCTCTCAAAACAACCACAGAAATGGAAACCATAGTTACAAAAACAAGTAAAACAATGACAGGCTCAAGAGTTAACAAGGTGTGGAGTTCACCAAGTAAGACCCCAATAAATGGCACCACTAGAACTACATATCCACATAATCGTTTATAAATGTAAGTTGTAACTACAGCTAGTGCACAAGAACTACATGATTCAAACAAGGGCATAGCACAACCACCTTCCAAACAATGCGAGTCAAACTGCAAATTTAGCATTTACAAAGTACCACAAATCTTTTTTTGACATTTGGAAGAGTTACTATAGCCTCTTTTGTAAGAAGAAGAAGAAGAAGAAGAAGAAGAAGAAATAACACCAGATCTGAGCAAAAATGTTACACTTTGAGGCTCCCTAGCTTATATTTTTAGTCTTTTAGCTTATGATATTTGATACAATAAAGTATATTTCTTTCTCCTCAGATTAATCTCACTCCAGAGACGAAAAGATCACAAAAAAAGGCAAAAAGAGTGAAAATCCGCGACTGAGTAGATACGTGCGAGCGGAATTCACAATCCGCACAAGCGGATTTCCCTAAATCAAGTTTTGCCTCTGAGATGATCCGCATGAGTGGCATACTTAAACCGCACAAGCGGATTTGCCCCGTTTTGCTTGTGCGCGTTTTTGACTCAGAATTGACTGGAGGTGATAAAAAGAAGTTTTGAACACTTGTTTTGGGATCTGAAACCCTAGAGAAGACGACTAGAAGCTAGAGAAGAAGAACAATTATCAATACATGGCATTCTTTTCAACCTTTGAAGTGTTCAACCTCTCCATGTGCGGTTAAGCTTTCTTCTTAGGATTGTGATAAAACTCTAATTAAGTATCATGTAATTTTATATATTAATTCTAGTTTTTCTTTAGAATTGGATAATCGTTGTATGATCGTTTTTAGATTTTTTATTCAAACAATCTTTTTATTCAATTATGTGTTCAATTTCTGTGATTGACAATGCATGATCATACAACTATTTTACTTTCTTGTATATACAAACCGTAAGATGAGTCATGCTTAGGAAAGACAAGTTGTGCTGCAACCTTAGTTTAGTGCAGATGATTAGTGCTGACCAAAGATGGTTCGTGCCTACGTTTTGAATATACTCATCTTATTAACGATGATATTAGGACTTGAAGTCACGATACAGCATCATTATCCAGGCCATTGATTTACTATAATTGGGTATTTTAATTATATGATATGAGATTAGTAGTGCATTCGAAATTCTAAGTCTCCCTCCATATGCTAATAACTCTCTTTATTTGCGCAATTACTTTAGTTTAATTTAAATTCTCACTAGTAAAAATCAATCATCCTCTCTTCTTCAAATTAAATTAGTAATTACCGATCGAATTGATATAACTCAGCCCAAAGTCCTCATGGTACAATACCTGGACAATCCACTGTTCTACTGAATTAGTGTTTTGTGACCGATCAACATCTCTCTCTCTCCCCCTACCCAAGATCTTTCATCATGCTTGGAAAGCTTGAATTGGATTCCAAATCAAAATAACTTTTCTACTTATCACACACACACACAGATCGTTGCTGAAAAGAGCCATGATGAATGAGAGACAAGTTTCAACATGTATTGAATTAAGAATATAATGATTCAACCAACAGAACAATTACAAATATATGAACCTGTCCCCCCTAGAAAAGGGTTAACAGAGAAGTGTCAGACACATGAATATAATTGACTGAAGGGATTGATATGCAATAACAATTGGCCATTACTCAGTTTGCTTATCATGCTACATTAGCATCTTCAGTGCAATGTTATTTTCTCATTAATTTTAGCATATGATTTTTTCTGTTCTGTTCCTCAAACCATAGGCCTTATTTGGCATGCACTGATCACCGAACTTCAACCAGCTAGTGCTGGTTTCAAGTAACAATGCAGAAACAAAGTACTAAGTCCTTGGCAAACATAGCAGAACTTTTACCCCCAGTAATGTTTCACCAGGCACTAACTAGTGGTTATATTTTTGTTCTCCTTCATCATGATCTCAAACTAAATATTAGAAACATTAAACTGCAGGATAAAAGGGACTCATTTGAGATATATACCATCTATTTTGTGTGGAACTACAATTGTCATCAGGTAATTAACAATAACAGAGGTCTAACAGAACCGCTGCACCAGGAAGACTACTAGACAATAGTAAACAACTACTCAGTTTATTTCTGTAAGACTTAAGAAAGGTCCGATTTGCCAGGGGATTCCAGCATCATACCATTGAATTCAGTGTTCTACTCTTTTAGTGGAACTATGCAATCTCTCCGAGGCTTTGACTCAAAATAGTCAACACAACTTAGTTCATTGATTTCAGTACATTAATCACCAAAAGATCCATTAGCAATTCAGTACTTTGAACTGCAAACATAGTTCAACACTGGACCTTATTTCAGCATTTATTGGTCACCTCATCGGTTGGCATTAAATTCAGGTAGAAGTTAATGCCACTACAAACATACAAGTCCATAGTTAATTTTTTACATTCTAGCACAGACAGAAGTTGCAAACTCATCGGTCATGCTACTGTTCTTGGAAACAAAGGTCATATGATACTCCATCCAAGTTCCAACTCCCTTCGGCATGCATAGCATATAACTAAGCAAAAAAAGAATGGGCAATAGCATAAATTAAGGAAAGAACTACTACCGTCTCCCACATAAACATACACTCACAAACATAGCTAACAAGGACCCAAACACAATCTCATCTCCAACACAGGCCACAGAACCCAAAACAAGTATTCCAAGCATTATTTTTCGTTGTCCAATTCATCACAAGAAAGAAAAAAACAAAGACCCTAAATTTGGGGTTCTGTTATGTGCAACCTTGCCTCCCTGATCTTGTGCATGTCCATGACCTTTTCTCGCTATTTTGACTAATTAAAAAAGTTAGCTCAAATTGAGAAGATCTTGACCTCCATAAAAGTGCATAATATTGTAGGACAAACCACTCATAATTTCCCTATTGGAGTCTATACTAATATATGAAGTAACAGAGAGCACCATTTTGAAGTTTCACTCAAATTGAAACCTGGCAATATTTTTATTTTCAAGAAAACAAATGATTTTATATAATCGCATTCAAATCACTCAAATATCCAATAATGTAGGATTTCTTTTTTTTTTTTCCTTTTTCAAACAATTCAATTTGAATTTGAGGGGAAAAGATTAAAAAAGGTTATACATCAGGAGAATGGGAAAAGGTGGCAGAAGTGAAAGTGGAGAATCAGTAAATTTGAGGTAATGTAAGAACAGTTATATTCACATAAATCTGTAACACTTCATACTAATCATAATAGAAACCCGCATAATGAGTGCTCACAAACTAAAACAACCTCTACACACGTCCTATTACAATTTGATAAAAAAAAAATTGATTTTTTTTTTTTTTTGACTTATACTTGCCCCTTTCGGTTGAAAAAAAAAAAACAAAAACAAAAACAAAAACAAAACAAAAACACTGAAACAGAGGAAAAAGAAACTGACTTTATACGAAGCTACAAAAAATTCAACATCTGAATCATTATACAGGGTTTTCCCCTAAAAAACTCACAGTGTTCTAAAGCAAAGGAAAAAGAAACTGACTTTAATACCAAGCTAGTAATCTACAAACAATTCAACATCTGAAACATTCAATACACTCAATCAGCTATCTAATCTATGGTAATTAACAGATCCAATGCAAAGCTTCAAAAAAAAGCACAGCCCAAAGTTCAAATTTTTTTTCCCAAAAAAATTCTAATCAGCATATAATCAAAATCAGCTGGCTGCACAAAACAGATTCAAGTTTCAAAAATTTTCTCAGAAACCAAACAAGCACAACAAATCGCACAAATTTCGCAATTGAAAATTAGGGTTAGAGAGAGAGAGACCTCTTCTCGCCGCCGGTGTAGTACTCTTGAATTTCATCGGAGTCGGTGTCGGAGTCGTGAGCGGAAGAGGGGCGGTTCAGATCGGAGAGGGTTCGGATACCGCCGGTTCGACTCGTTGAGGGCTTTGCAGGTTTCTTGTCGCGAGAGGCCATTTTCGTCTCTGTACAAGAACAAGAACAAGAACAACTACAACTAGTAGAGAAAGATAATATATATTATCAACTAGCGGTGAGGTGTGCAACTCGAAAAAAATTATAATACAAGAATAATCACTTTGTTTGGTTAGAAATTTTATTCTTAATTTTCATATTTTTTTATTTTTATTGATTTTTTTTAATATTTTTAATAAATTTTTAAAATTTTTAGACACACTAAAAAATTATAATTTTTATAATTTTTTTTAAATTTCACTAAATATCAAAAATATTAAAAAAATACGAAAATTCAATATATAGTTTGTATTTTTGTGTATTTATTCATTTTTTAAAATATTTTTTTCACAATTATTTTTTTTTAGATACATTTAAGTCAAGTGCATCTAAAAAAGTTAAAAAATGCTTAAAAATTTAAAATATTTACTAAAAATAAAAAAACACGAAAAATAAAAAATTCAGTTTTCAAATAATTTAATTTAGAAAACTAAAACCAAACGCATTGAAGGGTTTATCTTTAATTATTCAATCCAAATAATATTGATAAAGAAGATCATAAAAAAATTAGATAATTATTTTTAATTTTAATATCTTTTGGTATTTTTTATTTGTTTAACCAAATTTAAAATTATATTCATACATAATTTTTCAAGGTATCTTATCTCTTCTTCTTTTTTAATTTAATATTTTTTAGAATCTTATTATTATCTACAAATAATAAACTACTAATCAATAAATATAAAAAATAAACAAATAAATTAAATCTTATCAGCTATAACAAATAAATTTAAAATTTTGATTTATCTTCAATTATTTTTTTAGGTTTCATTTTTTAATTTTTTTTTGAACAATCCAAATATTTTTGTTATAATGATCATGAAAAAATTAAATATTTATTTTTAATTTTAATATATTTTGGTGTCCTCCTTATTATCGAGAATTTTTTTTTATTAGCTTAACCAAATTTAAAATTATATGCGTACATAATATCTCAAGATATCCTATATCTTTCTCTTTTTTTTAATTTAAATATTTTTGGAATCTTTTTATTATCTACAAATAAATTGCTAATCAATAAATACAAAAAATAAACAAATAAATTGAACCTTATCAGCTATAACAAACAAATTTAAATTTTTTTGTTACTCGTACACAATCTTATAGGTATTCTATGTCTTTTCGGTTATTAATTTTAAAATGGGTGAAAAGAAATAGTAAATAACCCTAGGTTATAAAATTTAAAAAATAAAAATAAAATTACTTCAATTAAATAACTCTACATTAATCCACCAGTTGGAAACAAATAAATAAAGAGTTTATAGAAGGAGAATTGTTTCATCACAATTGATCAAAAAATAATAGAATATATATATATATATATATATAAAGGAAATTGCAATTCAAATACCTGGAATGCTTGGAAATCCATAATCAGTACCAAAGTATTAGAATATTTATTAATATTAAAAGATCAAAGATGGAATAGGAAGAAGAATAAAGAATATATATATATATATATATATAAGAAATTGCAATTCAAGTACATGAAATACTTGGAAATCTAGAATCAGTACCAACGTATTAGAATACTTATCTTACGTAAAAACATTCCCAGCATATCTTTTACAACCTGAAATTTCACTTCCACATAATAGATTCCATCGATACACAAAATAAGAAGTTTGTGAAACAATAAAAGGAAAGTGAACTTGTAAGTTTGAGTTTCAAAATTTGAAACTGCATCTTTAATTTGTTTGAATTTATTTTTTTTAAATGCTCTACCAATCAAGAATGTCGAGACCCATTTTCTCTCTCTAAAAAGTTGAAGACCCATAACTTTTGTTTTTTGAAACTGTATTGTAGTTTGGGAGACAAACGTGGGAAAGTGGAATGTGAAAGTGATTGGTTATGATTGGTTTATTAAGTCCCTATCTAAATGCCACATGCCAAAAGTTTCAAGAAATTTTGTTAAGGGCTTACTTTATATAATAATATAGATGATGCGAATTGTGATGCCTAGCTATATATTCTCAAGAATTTATTTTTACAAATTAATAAATTAAATTAGTAGTATTATTTTTACTTGTCCATTAAATATTTCTACCCAAAAAAGATGTAATCTTATGGCGATGAAAAATATTTTGTCTTTTTAACCAAATTAGTAGTATTTTTTTAAAATTATAAATAAATAAAAAAAGGCAAATTGCGAGAGTACCCTTTTTAGTTTAGTCTTTGTATCATTTTGGTCTCTATAATTTTAATTGGTTCAATTTTGATCATAAATTTATGATTTTATTTTAATTTGGCCCAATTAATTATAACTCTTAATATTTTTTTTATAAAAAATATGAATATAAGTGACATGTGTCATATTTTTTAGAATAAAATTATAAATTTACTAAACTCAACTAATTCAATGATTATTTTCTATTAAAATTACTAATGACATTATCAATTAGACTAAAGTGACAAATTTTTTTAAAGGGAAGTGATTGAGACCCCCTCCAATCACCACCCCCACACACACGTGGGGGCTGGTGATTGGAGGAGAAGAAAAAACAAAAACAAAAAAAAGAAAAAGAAAAACTGGCCAATCAGAAAGAGAGGGGGTCGTGGGGGTGCCCCTTTGTAGGGGTCCAAGTCATTTTCCAATTTTTAATTACAAAAATGTTTAAGACCCCTTTTCCCCTCACCCCCTTTGACCCCCTCTCTTTTTTGATTGGCTACTTTTTCTTTTACTTTTTTTTTTTCCTTCTCCTCCAATCATCACCCACCACATGTGTGTGGGGGTTGTGAGGGTGGTGATTGGAGGCGGTCTCTATCAATGCTCTTTTAATTAAGAGTCAAAATTTAGCCAATTAAAAATAGAGGGACTAAAATGACACAATGGGCAAATTGTAAGGATTACCGGTGTAATTTGCCTTAAAAAATTTCAAAATTTGACATTTATGACAAAATAAAATTTTAATTTTATCAATTAAAATCTTAATTTTTTTTAATTTGTTTTCAATTTAAATTATTAACCTATTTTTATTACGTAAACTTAACCCCAAAAAAATGATATTTTAGCCATTAAACATAAAAAAAAATTTATTTTCAGCATTTTATGTTCAACTATATTGAGTTTAATGACTAAAATACTTTTTGAAAACAAATCAAAATTTTAGAGTTTTAATTAATAAAATTAAAAATTCAGAATTTATTTTTATCACAAAAGTCAAATCTTAATTTTTTTTTTTTGTTGTTGTAATTTCTCTCTCTCTCTCTCTCTCTTGAAAAACAATTATGAAAATTAGTCTAAACATTTTTTTATTTTCTCAAAATTAGAAATTGTGAGTTCATCAATCAACATATACCGAAAAAGTTTTGAAATTTTATATGGATAAAGCTTATCCTTTGAGTACACCGATGGTTATTCGATCTCTTTATGTGAAAAATGATCTTTTTGGACCTCGAAAAGATAATGAATAATTCTTTGGTCTTGAAGTACCATATCTTAGTGCAATTGGTGCTCTTATGTATCTTGCAAATTGTATCAGGCCGGATATTGCATTTACTGTCAATTTATTAGCAAGATATAGTTCTGCACCAATCTTAAGGCATTATAATGAAGTTAAGCAAATATTACGTTATATTCGTGAAACAATTGATATGGGTTTATTTTACTGAAATAAATCCAAACTGCGGTTAATCGGATATGTAAATGTTGGATATCTTTCTGATCCACGTAAAGCCAAATCACAAACAATATATATTTTTACCTATGGGCATACTACTATATCTTGGCGATTAGTAAAACAAATATTGACTGCTACTTTTTCAAATCACTCCAAGATACTTACAACTCATGAAGCAAGTTGAGAATGTATTTCCATTATATTCAAGAAAAATGTTGATTGTCTTCAACAAAAAATAGTTCAACCATATTATATGAAGACAATGCCGAGTGTATCACACAAATCAATGGAGTCCATATCAAAGGTAATAAGACTAAACACATTTCGCCAAAATTATTTTACATACATGAGCTCCAGAAGAACAGTGATATTTGATGTTCAATAAATACGCTCAAGTGACAATCTGGCAGATTTATTTACTAAAGCATTATTGACTATAACATTCAAGAATCTGGTGCATAATATTGAGATGCGTCGACATGAAGACCAAATATTGTACTTTTTTTCTTTCTTTTAAATTTTTTCCCCACTCCGTTTTCCTTAGCAAGGTTTCAATGAGACAATTTAAACAAATCACATTAAAAAATATTGTACTCTTTTTCTTTCACCAAAGATTTTTTCCTACTAGATTTTCTTTGATAAGGTTTTAACAAGGCATATTCTTAGTATATGGCTATCCAATGGGGAGTGTTGTGAAATATTTGGATAATCATAAAAAAGATGCAATTAGAATTAGAATGAGTTTTGGGCCAAAGTGAAAATATGGGAAAAGTTTTACCATGTGGGAAGTATGGTATACCATGTAGTAAACTACATGGTATGATGAATAGTGGTGTATAGTGAATGTTTTAGTGAGTTTGCATGGTAATGAAAATATAGAAAAACTGTATATTATATGTGTGATCCTTTATATTATTTTTCATTGTGGCTCTTTTTTCTTTATTTTCTTTAGTTTTATAATAAAATTAAATTAGTAGTACTGTTTTTTACTTTTTCATTAAATATTTCTACCCAAAAAAGATGTAATCTTATGGAAATGAAAAATATTTTCTTTTTTTTAACCAAATTAGTAGTACGCACATTGATTTAGACCCCCTTAAAACACCCACCCCACAACCCCCTCACACACATGGAGGTTGGGGATTGGGTGAGAAGAAAAAATAAAAATAAAAAAAGAGAGTTGACCAATCAAAACTAAAGGGGGTCAAGGAGGTGACCCTCAAAGGGGGTCTCAACCTTTATTCAATTACAAATACACCTCATGAGTTTGGATTAAAATACAAATCACTCCATGTGGTTTTGGAAATTACATTCCACCCTATGAGGTTTCTAATTTCATAACAAATTGTCCCTTTTATTAATA